CCCCAAAACCCCAAAACCCCAAAACCCCAAAACCCCAAAACCCCTTATTTTTACCACAATATTGAACACTATCTCATCCAAATTCTTCCTGTTCTCCCTCATTCTCTACCAATCCGAAACCTTGTCCAATATTCTGAAGCCCAAAGTCCCCAAAAATCTCCGAGCTTTGACTTCCCGGATCAAGTCCGGATAGTGGCCAAATAGAAAGCAAAAATTAGGAATTTTGTAATCAAAATTATGATTTTTCCTAGCCGAGCCATAGCTCAGAAAGTACATACAGTAATGTCCATCGTCAATTGAACAAGAATCTGGAGCTTAAAAAATTAGCTTAAATAGCTCAGCCTAATAGCCTTGACAGGCTGAGGAGGCTGAACTGAAAACCTATGATTAATACTAGGTTTTAAATATTTCTGAGCCTTTCTTCGGCTAAAGCCTATCTTGAAGTTGGTATAATCTTTAGTAGCTAGTGGGTGCTCAGAGGAAGTAAAGTTGGTAGGCTTACTATCAACAGTGCTTACTCCATAAGTTGACCTCTTGTTTGATCTGTGCCTGGTCGATCCTGTATAACTATGCTTATTTCTTATTTTTGATTTTAAATTTTCAAGAGTCTCATGCAGAGGAGGTTCAATAGACACAGCATTCGAATATCTAATTGTTGGCCTATGGATTATATGGGATGCATCGTGATCTATTGACAGCGTCGTTGTTGGCGAAATACAGTAGGAATTTATCCTCTGTCTTTGCCATAAATTATTCCGTCCTGAAGTTCCTCAAATTGTGCTATCATTAAAATCCCTAAAAATAACATTAATCCTAGACTAATAAACTTCAAATGACACAAAATTGGTCTTGAAGTCACCAGTCTTCACCCCAAAGCACCCTTTAAAACTAACCTTTCCTCTAGTCGAGTCATTTTGCGACTGGTTAACAGGAGAGACAGTAATAGTTTTATACCGGCTTCTCCTCTTCCCTACTCTTTTAGCACTTTTCTTAATAGAAATGGAAGTATCTCTTCTCATGGAAAGCCTATTTGAACTCCTCTGTTTAATCTTCTTATTTTAAATCTTCCTTCTGTATCATCTTATTCATATATATCCTATTGGTCTTCTTACTGTTATTTATGGTCAAGTTTGGCACTGGCTAAGGATTAGTGGTATAAGTTACCATAAACAGTACTGTTTACTCTATCAAATTCTTCGTAAAGATGTCGCACTCATTCATATTTCAAGAGACTCCTCATTTATATATTAAATTACTTTATTATTTTTTCTTAACGCAAGGGGTTTTGGGGTTTTGGGGTTTTGGGGTTTTGGGG